TTTGCCACAGACTCTGTGGAAAGGTCAAAGCCACTGTACACTAGGTGAGTGTGCCACACTCTCAATGGGTGAGTCAAAGCCACTATACCTTAGGTAAGTTTGCCACACTCTCAATGGGTGAGTCAAAGCCACTATACCTTAGGTAAGTTTGCCACAGACTCTGTGGAAAGGTCAAAGCCACTGTACACTAGGTGAGTGTGCCACACTCTCAATGGGTGAGTCAAAGCCACTGTACCTTAGGTACAGTAGGTGTGCCACAGACTCTGTGGAAAGGTCAAAGCCACTGTACACTAGGTGAGTGTGCCACAGACTCAGTGGAAAGGTCAAAGCCACTGTACCCTAAGTGAGTGTGCCACACTCTCAATGGGCGAGTCAAAGCCACTGTACCCTAAGTGAGTGTACCACAGACTCGATGGGAAAATCAAAGCCACTGTACCCTAGGTGAGTGTGCCACAGACTCAATAGGTGAGTCAAAGCCACTGTACACTTGGTGAGTGTGCTATACTCTCAATGGGTGATTCAAGGCAACTGTACCCTAGGTGAGTGTGCCAGATTCAATGGGTGAGTCAAAGCTACTGTACACTAGGCGAGTATGCCAGACTCAATGGGCGAGTCAAAGCCACTGTACCCTAGGTGAGTGTGCCACAGTCTCAATGGGTGAGTCAAAGCCACTGTACCCTAGGTGAGTGTGACTTTCAATGGGTCAATCAAAGCCTCTGCACCCTGGATGAGTGTACCACAGACTTAGTGGGAAAGTCAAAGCCACTTTTTGATTCATTTAATTTTCATTGAAAATGACTGTGTTTACACTGAAATCACGTGTATGCGCATCCATATGTCCAATTTCTTGTCGATGTCACATTCAGTGTGTAACTTTCCATCAATATATAGTTTTGTATAGGTTCAGTAATAATTCTTGTAGAAACATTGGTTTAGAAAAACCCATACAGCATCCTTAAGTTGTCAGCCCTGTTTTTAGCTCCGCTGTCGACTTTGTCGAGCGGAGCTTATCATATGAGTGATTGTCCGTCGTCCGTCGTCCGTGTCAATGTTTTACTTTTTCGACTTCTTCTTGAAAACTACAAGCTTGAATGCTTTGATACTTGGTGTATATGTACCTTGGGTAGACCTCTCTCAGATTTGTTCATTTCATGATGATATCTTCAATTCTCTAATTTTGGTGAATATTTTTGTCATTTTTAGTAAAAAGTGATATTTTCGACTTCTTGTTGAAAACCGCAAGTGCAATTGCTTTGATATTACATATATAGGTACTACATTTGGACCTCTCTCAGATTTGTTCATTTTGTAATGATATCTTTAATTCTCTAATTTTGGTGAATATTTTATGTCATTTTTGGTAAAAGTGATATTTTCGACTTCTTGTTGAAAACCGCAAGTCCAATTGCTTTGATATT